TGCGCCACCCAGGCGCCCCTTCTTTTCTTTTTTTAATGTTTATTTATTCATTGTTTAGAGAGAGAGAGAGAGCGCACATGGGAGGGGCAGAGAGAGAGGGAGACAGAATCGGAAGCAGGTTCCAGGCTCCAAGCTGTCAGCACAGAGCCCAACGCGGGGCCTGAACTCATAAAGAGTGAGATCGTGACCTGAGCTGAAATCAGACACTTAACTGTTTGAGCCAGAGGGGTTTCTTTTCACAAGGCAAACCTCCAAAACCGTAATACTGCTAGGACGCACAGGTATAAAACATGTCTCCCCACAAGACACCTGCTCCTCCTGGACTTCCCCTCAACCATCCTCTCAGACCCCCGGGCTCAGCAACTCCCGGCACCACACATAGCCAGCTGCCAGGTGCTGCAGTCACTCCCCCGCTCCCGCTGCCTTGCCCATGCCCAGTGCCATGGACCACGTGCCAGCCTCTCATCCCCACTCCCGGGGCTATCACAAGACAGCCTTGTGACGGTCTCCCCACCAAAGGTCGCCTGTATACTGTCAATGTGACAGAGTCCTGACAGTTCTCCCACGCGGAGTCACAACCAGGCCACCGAAGGAGTGCGAAGCAGAAAGAAGAGGGAAGCGTCCAGGAAGTTACATTTCTAGTCTCATGAAATACCCCAATGGAGGTAAAAAGAATAATACTGGAAATAGGTGGTTGGTCTGACTGTAATAGGTTCAAGTAAAGGCACCTACACTAAAAGCATAAAAACATGGAAAGTTGCCCAGCGAATATTTGGTTGAAAGATGGGCTCTGCCTGAGGACTATCCAGACCGGTTGGTAAAAATACATCGAGATTCACTCACTTTTGCAATTCCAGTGACAAGACTGGATTCCCACCATCTTGCCTCAAACATGGACTCGATGTATTCCACGTATTTTTAGATGTAAAAGATAAAACAAAAACCCACGCGTGCCTCGCACGCACAAGGCACATTCCCGTCAAGGCTGAAAGCAAACATTTGCTTTCACAGAAGTGGAAGCCTCCACAGATGCGAATTACATGAATGACAAAAACGGATCTACCTCAATAACAGAATTTCAAAAACTGCTTTCCTAATTCATTCAAAACTTTTCTGAGGATGACAACATTTCAAAAGATCATGTCTTATTTCCAAAATAAGACAGAGCCTGGAGAAAAAACAGGAGAGAAGAAATCCAAACGCGAGGAGTCTTAAAAGGAAAGGTCTGCAGGTGACGGGGATACAGTGTGCCACTGAGACACCTGCTAACCATATATTCCCCCCACCCCACCCCCACCCCCACCCCGTGGAAGAGGGCGCCGGTTCTAAGCTGAGACAACATCCGATATTCATCCATCTTGCACAAGCCTTCACTCAGAGAACAGGTCTCTTGACTAAATCATAAAGTGGATCAGGACCCCTCACCGGGCCAGCCTCCTATAAAAATCACAAGCGCGGACAAATTCTGACGAGGAACAAAAGCAGGATCGCCAACGGACAGGTGCAATGCACCACAACACTCCTGCCTTTAGCTTCTTGGGGAGGAAGGAAAAGAGAGAATGTTCCTCAGACACAGGATAGAACCTTACAGTTCGTACCATGGGGCTGCACCTCCCCAGGCAGCTATGAAGCCTGCCCCTTATCAGTGAGGACTGGAGGCTGCCGGCTCCCGCCTCATCACATCCAGCACTTGCGAAAGTACTTGCTTAGTAGGAATCACACTAAAAGGTACATCCCGCTTATCGGACATGAGGAGAATCAAACGGACTTGTCATTTCATTATTTTTACCCATTAGTGTCAGCGTCCAGAACACCCCTAACCTGCGGGACAATGGTAACCACTGTTACCTTTTGGCCAGTTGTGCTCCATCCATTATCAAATTAATTTAAAAGTATCCAGAAAGCCCCGCCCTGTTTCATGCAGGGCCAACATTTGGAGACAGCCAGGCTCTTCCTCATCAAGAAGTTCCCTCTCAGTCCACGGAATCTGCTTTATCTCTAGATTCATGAAAGAATCTGTTTGGTTGACGGCCTAGCCTTGTGACCTCAATCTGAAGGGGAAGATGTAGCCACTCATCTCAAGGTTCATGAAATTTCACTAAAAGGAATAAACAGACCCAATGAGAGCCTGCCTTACACGAATAAGCACGTGGCACAATTAATCACACCGTCCAGGGGCCAAAACCAGGCGAGGAGCATTTGGGAAAACATCAGCAAGGAAATGGGAGATTGGCCTAGAGAGGCTCCTGTAGGAGTAGACCCGGGGGACAAGGCTGCAAGGTCTCAGGGTCCTCCCCTGAGAAGTGAGGAACACACCGAGGGTGGGTTCCATGGTACTTTCAAGGGAGGATGGCTTGGTGAGGTCAACAGCAGGCACAGGCATTAGAGACCCAGCTTTGAGTGCCAACACCACTACTCACGAGCTGAGACCTCTTGCGCTAGGTCACTCTGCCTCCCTGAACCTTCGTTCCCTCACCTGTAAATGGGGCAATAGCGCCCGCTCGCTAAAGAGTCGTAAGGGCTAAATGAAATGCATAGAAAGAGTTCATCCCCATTCCACGTAGAAGAGTACGCCAACTTGTCTAACTTCTGCCTATAACTTCTACCTGATAGCATCTAGAAAGCATCTCTTGTTTTTTATTTCTTCCCTGATGAGCTCGGTGGATAATTTTAGGTGCTACCATGATATGACTATGATTTCACTGTAGGATGGTATTATATATACAATACATATGTTGTATTTAATTTACAAAACTCAATACAGGGGTGCCTGGGTAGCTCACTCGGTTAAGCGTCCGACTCTTGACCTCGGTTCAAGTCATGGTTTCATGGTTTGGGGGTTTGAGCCCCGTGTCAGGCTCTGTGCTGGCATCACGGAACCCGCTTGAGATTCTCTCTCCCTCTCTCTCTGTCCCTCCCCACTTACATGCATGTGCACGCTCTCTCTCTCTCTCTCTCTCAAAATAAATTAATAAATAAATAATAAAGTTTTACAAAATGACAAAAATAAAACTTTACAGGACATCATTCTTTTTCCATCTAATCTCACCCTGGAAGTTGAAAGCATCCACTTGAAGAGGGCAAAAGCACCACAAGGAAAGTAGGCCAACCAGTCTCCAGCAAAAGCAGAGAGTGTGGCCGTTGCAGCAACATGATACGTACCAGCACGTCCACATAGAGAATCCAGCAGTGCTCCCGGGGACTGATGCAGAGGGACTTCAGGTCAACGCTGCTCTTATTGTTAAATATCCGGTAGAGGGTGTTAGCAATCTCCGTGCCAAGGTCATCACCTCCCCGGCCTTCAAATTCAGGAGTAGCGTTGGCTGAACTACATAGAAGGGCAAGAGAAAAGCTGCGTGAGTCTTTTCAGAAACAAAGAGCAGAGGCACACGGCTTTGTTCCAGTTTCTTTATGGAATGTTGGACGGGCCAGCGGCTGTACAAGAAAAGTCACTGAAGTGAGGAGAGGATGGCACCTGCCACTTTTCCAGCCTCCAGACACACGCAATGAGCCAGACTGGCACGGTGCCCTGGATCTGTCAGCGTGTGTGACGGGGGTCCCCCCCCACGACTTCTAACAGAAGCCATCTTTACCCAAAGAGACACGAGAGAACAATAGTAAAGTGAACCTTGGCCAGTAATAATTAACTCTCTTATCTTGACAGTAGAATGCTCTTCTCGGACAGGCCCAGGAGGCCAGGAGGCCTAATGTCAAGCAGTCTGGCCGTGGAAGGGTCACATCACATACACCACCCCGAGTTTTCATTTAAAATGCACCACGAGGGGCGCCTGGGTGGCTCAGTCGGTTAAACGTCCAACTTCAGCTCAGGTCATGATCTCACAGCTCGTGGGTTCGAGCCCCGCATTGGGCTCTGTGCTCACAGCTCGGAGCCTGGAGCCTGCTTTGGATTCTGTGTATCCCTCTCTCTCTGCCCCTTCCCTGGTCCTGCTCTGACTTTCTCTCTCAAAAATAAACATTAAAGAAAATTTATTTTTCTGTTTTTTAAATGTACCACCAAACTCTCAAAACAAAAACCACGTTAAGTACCATGACCTTCCTTGAATGATTTAGAAGACATGTATGATGGTATGCCAATTATATCACAAACTAGATTATCACTGTACTGAAAAGCAGGAAAATGAAATGAGAAAGACGGCCAGCTGATTAAATATTAGAATAGCCCTTTTACTTTATTTGCTATTTTTCAAGAGAAAAAAACTTTTCCATTTTGGCCTCTTGAATCTTATGCCCAATTACCCCAAAAAAGAATAAACAAGCATCAACATTTGTTGCCCTAAGCATTATTCAAAAGTATTTTGGGGGGCGCCTGGGTGGCTCAGTCGGTTAAGTATCTGACTTCAGCTTAGGTCATGATCTCACGGTTTGTGAGTTTGAGCCCTGCGTCGGGCTCTGTGCTATCAGCACAAAGAGCCCTCTTGTTCTCTCTCTCAAAATAAATTAATAAACTTAAAAAAAAAAAAAAAAAGTATTTTGAGGGGGAAGGCACCTGGATGGCTCAGACAGTTAAGCATCTGGCTTTTGATTTTCGCTCAGGTCATGATCTCGTGGTTCATGGGATCAAGCCTCATGTCAGGCTCTGTGCTGACAGCTCAGAGCCTGCTTGAGATCCTCTCTCTACCTCTCTCTTTGTTCCTTCCCCGCTTGCACAAGCATACATGCATTCTAAATAAACATTTTTTTAAGTTTTTTTTTTTTTTTTAAGATTTTCTTTTTCAGCAATATCTACACCCAACACAGGGCTCGAACTCACAACACCGAGATCAAGAGTCTCATGCTCCACCGACTGAGCCAGCCAGGCACCCTATTATGCAAAAGTATTTAATGGGAAATTTTTGAGGGTTTTGGCTTAATAAAAAACAAACCCTCAATACATTATATACATCTGTGAGGTAAGTAACCATTCCAATAATCACTTTGCTGTAATGAAGAGGGTCCAGAAAAGTAACAAACCAGCTGTTTCAGTCAGTACGGTCTCTACAAAATCATGTATTGAAACTTTCTGTTCCACGCACTCATCCATCTAGAAGGTACCAGCTCTATGCTAGTACTGGAGACGGAGAGACTGAGCAAGGTGGATGCAGGCCCTAAGCTGGCAATTTCACAAAGTCAGGGAGCTTCATGATAGGGAGCAAAGAGCAGGAGTAGGGCTGGGGAGGATGTCAACCAGTGCCGAGGACCTCAACCCAGAAGGTGAGCAAAAGTGGGTCAGGATACAGACAGGCAGGGGGGTTCCAAGCAAAGCAAAACCCACATGAAGGCTCAGGGCTGTGCCTACCCCATCTGCACAATGCTAAAAATCTCACCTAATGTATTTAAACATCCCTTTTGTCTAGACCATTCTCATATAGGTGTAAGGACGACCCCTAAAACAATCAGAATGTATCACTATATAATAACTCTGTTTCTCTAAATATATAGTCTTCCCTTACCACTATGAGCCAGCAGAGCCCTAATTTAAAATCCCCAAGAGAAACTTCATTACTGCCACAGCAACCTTGCTATTCCCTCACGGCCTCTGCTGGACTCAGGCACTGAGCCACAAAAAGCAGCTCACTTAAGGTGAAATAATCAAGTTACCAAGGACCAACTTAGTAATTTTGCACAGCCAGCACACAAAAGCTGCTTCTAATTTACACACTCATCAGTATCAAGATCTATCTTTTAAGTGTGTAAAAACACATCTCTATAGAGCTAAATAGACAAATCTAATTAGGAGGTGCTTATGCTTAAAATGTGTCCCTTTCCCTGACTGCAGTGGGCCACACCCTCCTGGGTATGACTAATTAATTACTTAGGGATTGATGCATTCCCTCTTCTACAGCCCCAAGGGCTGATTTACAAAACCTCCTGGGTCCAACTGGCTAAATTCATCTACCCGTAAGACCACACCCCACTGTTTTTTTGTGGGTTTTTTGACATTAATTTAAAGTGGGAATTTTTCCTATTTTAAAAGTTGTGTTTTGTTTTTTTTTTTTTTAACACATTGTACTTTCAGCATAGCTGGTAGTCAGGCAGAGAGGAAGGTTTAGAGGCTCATGAGACCATGAAAAGCTCCCGCATCTGGATGGTGCCAAGGCCCCCGGAGTGACTCTGGGGAGGAGGCTGGGAAAATGGAAGGGAATCGTCGGGGGCCGGGCGTTGGGGCACAGTAACTTCAGGTAACACAAGAAGAAAAGCCAAAGACCCCATATTCTAACAAAGGATGAAGGGTAGGGCTGGGGAAGAGAACTGAGGGTCCCCCCTCATCACTAGGGGTGCTCCTAGCACAAGGACACTTCCTAGAAGAGGTGGACGGAGATGCCGGCCATGTCAGAGGACAAGAAACCGAATGCCCGCAGAGGCCAGCCAGGTGACTACGTGCATCTGAACAAAGAGCAACCGGAGATCGGTGATCCGTGAGGGAGGCTGACAAACTGTCCAGCCCTGAACAAAGAGCAACCGGAGATCGGTGATCCGTGAGGGAGGCTGACAAACTGTCCAGCCGCTCCAAAGGCATTTTAACTCACCTCTGAAAACAAACTCCGTTAGTGAAACAAAAACCTCACAAGTGGGGTCTGACCTACGGGAGAATGTGGTGAGACCTCAGATGGCCCAACCCTCTTGTTATACAAGGTGGAAAACTTTAACAGCTCTTTTGAATGTTTACTATGTGCTAGAAACCACTCTTAGCACGTTAGATGCGCCAGCTCAATCAATTCTCACAACAACCCTACTATTTACGACCCCATCTTAGAGAAAACGAAACAGAGTCCCAGAAAGGTTATATAATTTGTCCAAGCTCACACAACTAGGGACGGGGGAGCTAAGACTCCAAGCCAGGCAGCCCGGCCCTCATCTGCAAGGCTGCACCGGACTCTCCCTGAAGGTGGAATTCGGCATGCCTGGCTTGTAGCCTGACATGAGTCAAGCTAATGAATGGATGCTCTGGTCTTGAGATTTATTGTTAGACCACAAATACTGGAGTCAAGGAATGCAGACCAAAGGAGCCCTAAATAAAACGCTTCTCTATGAAGTGCAAAGTTTAAAAAGAGGGAAAGTACAACAGGCAGTAAGTAATCCTGGCTCCCTGCTCAGAGGTATCACAATACATTCTTTCAGCAGGGGAGTGTTTGCTCAGGGTTGGGGGCATAAAACCAAGTGCTTTCTCTGTTTACAACTGCCAAAACCAATTCAGATCCTTCCTAAGTATGACCCAGCCCCTCTTCCAGGGCAGTTGGGAAATTGCTTGCTGAGCCAATAAACTAATACAAATCCTGGAAATGCTGCCCCACCCAGATCTCCACCCATCCTGACTCATCACCTCTACTGTGCTCCTCCTGCCTGGCACATCCCTGATTTAACTGGGGTAGAGTGAGATCAAGGCCATGTCCACCTGAGACAGGATTTCAGACACTAGCCCATTGTTTCCCTTGTGATCCATCTAGCCTGCACATCTATGGAGTCTTACAGCCAGGTCAGGCCAGGACCATGACAGAGGACAGTGATTTAGCACGTTCGTGGGGCAGGGCTAGCTCTGGGCCTCACCCCTCCAGGAGTCAGTCAAGTGGTCCCGGCAGCAGGCCCCAATCCCTCCCATTCCCCTGTGTGCACATGTGCTCATTTCTGAACCTGCAGAAGCTTCCTTATGAGTGGGGATGGGAACAGTAACACATTTTGAACTGTTCACTGTAAGTTTCTGGGGAGAGTTATCAGTTCTTTCTGGAGACTTTCAGAGTACAGCTAGCTTCAAATGAGTTCTGTAGTTTGCTTGTCTGCTTTGTCCCCCGTCCATCAGGCACCAACAGGGACCCCCGCGAGCAGCAATAAGCACTGAGGAACAGAGATCAAGTGGCTCCTTCCACCAATTCAGGGCTTGAAGCTTCCGGTTCAATATTAGTGACAAATACGAGCGACCACATCGAAAAGTAAAGATCCCACTGGGAAGTGGCAAGTGTTGAGCACACCAAAATGTCTATGAATGAAACATGTTCTCCTCAGCTCCCTCAGTGAAAAACTGAAGCCGCTGGGAGAGGCTAAACCACGCTTCCTAACCCCCCATCAACATGGTGTCAGAGCAGAGACTAGATGGACCGCCACCTAGTGGTAGCCCAGACTGACACACCAGCTCACTCAATTCTTACCTTTCCTCCAGGTTTCTGATAGAAACCATCTTTTTCAAAGTTTCAAAGTTCTTACTTAAAACAGCCTGGTCTCGGGTTATGACTAACAAATCGAAGACAGGAGATGGGAGTTAGAAGGTCCCAGATTGCTCCCAGTTTTGATGTGTGTTGCCAGGCATCCCTGGGGCAGTGCTCAGGAACCCCAAGTCTTTACTACTCCACTGGGATGGGGATCAGAGCTGGTACAGCTGAGCAGCCCCCTCCCAAGGGAAACATCCCCTAGGCACAGGGGAAAATGATGGGGGTGGGAGGCCAGGTCTACCTCAGGTTCCATGTATTATTCCAAGCCAACAAAACCAAAGTAGGACGAGTTAGTGGAAAAGCAGTTAGCTCTCTAATCACCAGGAATTGAAATAATTAAACCCTGGAAGTTGCTGATGAGTCAAGCTGGGCTCAGACTGACAGCCCCACCCTGCCCCAATTACTGTCCTCTGGCTGGGTAACACTTCGGCTTCAGTCTGTGGATGGGCAGATGCCCTGGGCTCTCCTGCGGAAGGGCTTCGTGGGTAAAAGCCTTAGAGCTGGGCACATCTACATTCCTAGTCACTGGATGGGAATAAAGGGGTTTGTTTATTTATGCAATTAAGAGTTGCTCTTTAGGGCGCCTGGGTGGCGCAGTGGGTTAAGCGTCCGACTTCGGCTCAGGTCATGATCTTGCAGTTCATGGTTCGAGCCTTGTGTCGGGCTCTGTGCTGACAGCTTGGAGCCTGGAGCCTGCTTCGGATTCTGTCTCCCTCCCTCCCTGCCCCTGCCCGGATCGCACTCCATCTGTCTCTCTCTCAAAAACAAACATTAAAAATAAGAAAAAAAGTTGCTCTTTGAAGATTCAAATGAGACTTTGATAAAGGTGGCAGTCAGCAGTGCTTGGTGAATCAACATCTCCCTTCTCTGTAGGAATACGAGGTTTTGTGAATCTCTCATGGTGATTCTATCACAGTAACTGAGCCGCTTAAATAAGACACTAAAATGTGCCACTTGAGACTATCCATCTTGAAAGAGAATCAAGGAGGACTCCCTGGGAACTGGAGCTTCTGGGCCTGTTGAGGGTCTCCTGAGAGAAGAGAGGGGAGAGAAGAGAGGAACGGGCAGCCCAGCTCAGCTGGGAGGGGGAAGCTACTCCTGGGAGCCGGATCTTGGGAAGAGGCAGCTCCCTGCCTCCTCCCACCCTGGAGCCTCCCTTCCTTCACAGCTGGGACAAGAGCAGCAGGCTAACCCGGAGTCGTGTTCAGACACGGAGCCACAGTGAAATGTGTCCCCTATACCTAGCATCTGAAGGCAACACCTTCCCTTTGGTGTGGCTGGGCTGACTGCCTGTGGTCTGCCTAAGATGAAGGAGGTACAAGACAGTGAGGAGGAAGAAAAGAAAAGCAAATTACAGTTCCCCACACATGGTGTCTGCCCCTCGGTGACCGTTCACTACACTGAATTAGGCAGGTCAAGGCCAGGAGAGACATTTTTCTTCCACCGACAGCAAAGGAATCAGCTGGAGGCTCGAACAGGGCCACCACCATCCACGGCAGCTTAAAGGATGAGCCAGTCCCACTGGACAACCCAGATCGGCAAGGGGAGGTGGGTCCAACCAGAAGAGGAGACGGCTGGCTGGGGGCGGGGGTGGGGGGGCGTCTCGCAGGGCAGGGTGCAGGAATGGGCTGGAAGGAATACTGGCCAGAAAGCTGAACACGGATACGTTCTCGGAACTCTGAGCACCACACCCCCAGCAAGCTGGCTTCTGTAGGCTGCGCGAAGAACAAGGCAAGACTCAGGGTCGGAGAGGCCCGAGCCGGCATTACTAGCTCTGTGACCCCGGGGGTTTGTTTACCTTCTCTCAACCAAGTTGGTTGTCTCTCTCATAGGAATGTCATGAGGACAAACTTCTGAGTTTGGAAGAAGATCAGAAGAATCTAACTCACCATGTAAATGGGGGTTGGCATCTATGCCGAAAAGGCGGACACGGCGGGCCCAAGGGTGCTATCTTTAGAAGGGCCTGCTTGAAAGGTGGGCCCTCGGCTGGCATCTGGGAACTTGACTCTCAGTGTTCCCAGTCAACAGTGAACTGTGGTCTGCTGTGCCTAGACTATTTGTGCAAATAATATGATAAGGGGAGTATCTGCTTTCCTTCTGGGATTTGGAAATTTTGGTATGTGTTAAGCACAGGGTGCCCATGTGACCAGCCCGAGTGAAAATCTCGGGGGCCGAGTCTCTAATGGGCTTTCATGGGCAGAATCATCACACACGTTGCTGCGTTTCGTGGCTATAATAAATCTCAGCTGCGAGTACAACTATATGCTAAGTCCTGGGGGTCCTTCCAGCAAATCTCCAAATACGGGAGTGGTCTTGGGGACTCCCATACAGAACCAGTATTACATACCTGCATCCAGCATGAGCTAAGAGAGAGCCTCACCCACCTCGAGAAAGCCTGCTGTCACCATCTAGTTAGAAGCAACGTTCTAGACAGAAGAGGGACTGAGCTAGGATCCCAGGTTTAAAAAGCCCAAGGCCAGAGATGGGGCGCCTGGGTGGCGCAGTCGGTTAAGCGTCCGACTTCAGCCAGGTCACGATCTCGCGGTCCGTGAGTTCGAGCCCCGCGTCGGGCTCTGGGCTGATGGCTCGGAGCCTGGAGCCTGTTTCCGATTCTGTGTCTCCCTCTCTCTCTGCCCCTCCCCCGTTCATGCTCTGTCTCTCTCTGTCCGAAAAATAAATAAAAAACGTTGAAAAAAAAATTTAAAAAAAAAAGCCCAAGGCCAGAGAAAGGGGAGGCAACAGGAGGGAGAAAGAACACTCACGGAAAGGCCACTGGGAGCCAGTCATGGTGCTGGCACTCACTCTGCCTTCCTTATTTCATTCCGTCATCCTCACAAGAGTATTAGTACCCCGATTTTTTAGATAAAGAAACTTAGGCACAGAGAGACTAGGTAACTAGCCTGAGATCACACAGCTGGCCAGAGAAGGCTGGCTGCTGCAGAAACTGCGGAGTCCTCACTTTTCTAGCAGCCACGCGGCCTGCCTAGCTGCCACTCCCTCTGTCTGTCAGGCTATTTGGCCGGCCCTCGTCCTTGCTCTGCCAAGCAAGTCATGAAAAGTTTTCTGCAAAACTAGAGCAGGAGGAGAAACAAGACATTTTAGACCAAATGACCCTTATTTATCTATGTTTGATATTCTTCAAAGCACTGTAATACCCACCATTTCACTGGACTCTCATAACAACCATGTGCTGGGCTGCCTGATGCCCTCCTTTCTCCAACAGGGACAAGGCCCAGTGCGGGCCAGGTGACTAGGACAAGGGCAGGACTCGAGCCAAGGCCTTCTTCCACACACCCCAGTGCCTGGCACATAGGAGGGGTGCAGGAAATACCTGCTGGCTGCAGAGGTGATGACTGAATACAAAATCAAAGTGGGCTCAAAGGAAACCAGAGGTCCAGTCTCCAATCTACTTACTCACTTACTTACTTACTTATTTATTTGAGAGAAGGTGCACCTGCAAGTGGGGGAGTGACAGAGGGAGACAGAGAGAGAATCTTAAGCAGGTTCCACGATCAGGGTGGAGCCTGAGGCGGGGCTTGATCTCATCACCATGAGATCATGTCCTGAACTAAAATCAAGAGCTGGACACTTAACCGACTGAGCCACCCAGGCACCCCTCTGAATCTTCTTTTAAATCGTTTTTCTTTAAAAACATATGCATGGTACTGACCAGTCAACGAAGAACTCCAAGTACCCTTCATTGGGTTTCTCCAGCTTCGGCGTCCCCATTTCGGCTTTCACTCCCACCAAGATGTCTGTGTGACCCTGCAGACACACGCAAGAAGGGTCCTCACTCAGGGCAGGTAGCCACATACCCAACCGCCTCCTTCCTCTCCCAGACTGTGCCCCCAGGGACTCTCAGGAACTTGTGAAGTGGCCCTTTGGAAAGGTAAAGGGTCCTTCAGATCTAGACAGATACCCGCCCAGAATTTGGCTTGGGTCTTGGGTCCACCTCAGAAATGTATGTGCTCCCAAAGCCCCGAGGGGCCTGCAGCTAGTCCCCTAGGACCTGCCCATCCTCCCCCCGGGCACGGACCGTGGCCACAGTACTCACCAGCTTGACCCTGGCAGACCCACTGGTGTTGGACACCACGTCGGTTTCCACTTCGACACATCGGTAGTCCTCACAGCCACGGCCATCCACACGGAGGTCTTCCTAAGTGCAACAACCACAATCCTAACACAACCACAACCAAAGCACCAACAGACTCCCCAACTCATCCGTGCCATTTCCCTCCTAGAGAACTAGGCAGTACAACATCCCCTTCCCCCTTAGCGAATCATCCAAAACTCTCTCCTTTTGCTGGTAACAATATTCCTATCTTACATCTGAGGAAACAAAGACTCAGAGAAGTAAAGCGGCTTGACGGATGTGATGCAGCCATGATGCAGCCATGTGGCCGACGTCCCACAGCTGGTGAGAGCACACTGGGTTTCTACCCAGGTACGTCCCAGCGCAAAGTCCACACCACATCCCACTATACCAAACAGACACACGGAACAAACAAAATCGGAACAAGAGGAGAAATAAGCTGCCTCTTTCCAAGTCTGCAAGTCCAAAACCGCACCAGGAGGTATGCACTGTCGGGGCCACAGAGCCCAACTCTCTCGGCCGCAGGCCTCCCGCACCCTAACCTGAACAAAATCTACTCTGTTAACGGCTAAAAAACCCAGCTATCATCTCTACCCTGGGCATTCTCTAGAACAGGGACGGCACACCTCGGCACGAGAGCCACCTGCTTCTGTAAAACGTCTCGCTTTACAGAGCACGGCCAGGTCCGTTCGCTGAGGTTGTCCATGGCTGCTTCACACTCCAACGGCAGAGCCGCGCGGTTGTGACAGAGATCTTAAGAGCCACACGCCCCAAATCTTCACCATCTAGCCCCTTACAGGAAAAGCTTGCCGACCTCTGCTGCGGGAGATGTGTTTCAGGGTGGCCCACGTCCTGCCTGCCCTTTATCCCCATTTATTTACTCTTATCCACGTATCTCACAGACACACACTTTATGCTGTAGTTGTGATCCAGTATGACCATTACTTATCCTGCTGCTCAATGCGTTCCAGATTTGGCCACTGGGAGTTCCTTTGGGTTGCTTCCTGCATTCTTTCAACACACTTGAGATCTTTCCCAAGCACACCTTTACTTCTGACAAGACAAGATGTTCCAGCCTCTTGTATTTTTCCCTGCCCTGGCCTTGGGGTCAGCCCTTTCTCTGAGGAGTCCTGGTTCCTTTTATTGAAGAATGGTGCTTTTAAAAACCAGGATCTGGGTGCTAAGCAAGTTCACTGCTACTGGGGTGTCATTGCTTCCAGACCTTCTCAGCAGACAGAGCTCGATAACTATGTACGTACTTACACTCACCCACACAGCACTAACCCATACAGCTCTTCTATCCATGCAGCTCTTAAAAGGCCCTGATATGGGGCGCTTGGGTGGCTCAGTCGGTTGGGCGTCCGACTTCGGCTCAAGTCATGATCCTGCGGTCCATGAGTTCGAGTCCCGCATCGGGCTCTGTGCTGACAGCTCGGGGCCTGCAGCCTGCTTCGGATTCTGTGTCTCCCTCTCTCTCTGTGCCCCTTCCCCACTCATGCTCTGTCTATGTCTCTCTCTCAAAAATGAATAAATGTTAAAAAAAAAAAAAAAAGGCCCTGATAGCTGGTTCTAACTTTCCTTCGTGTCTTATTCAGAACTTCTTTCTCAGACAGGGAGACACCTGGCTCTCATTATCCACAAGGTATTTATTAAATCTTAGTATACTCATGAAGTACTTTCAGAATTGCTAACCCATACCCCTGTGAGCAACAAATTTACTAGTGGAGGACAGTACTTGCGTGGCGTTCTTTTTGTCTTTAGCCTTACAGTGAGTGCCCACCCCACATCCCATTTTCCATCGTCTCCCCCTCCTTGAGCGTGCCTGTTATTCCCTCCTACCCCTGTGAGGCTCATCGGTACCTGTTTGTGCTCGAGTCTGGGTGCCCCGCATCCTGGCTACTTTTAATTACTCGTTTACATTGTGGGTATGCAGACTAGCACCATGACTCTAGAAGTCAAAGCTATCAGAAAAGGTGTGCTCAGGGAAAGGTGGCTCTGCCCTCAGCCCTATTTTCACACCCCCATCTTTCTGCCTCGTTCCCACCCACCCCGGGCAGGTAACCAGGCTATTTACTATTTAACTGCTGGTTCATAGTTCCTGTATTTCCTTTGCACAAATGAGCAGATCCATGAATATATTTTATCCTTCTTTCTTAAATGAGGAGTGGCACACTACAGATACTCTTTTACACTTTGCTTCCTTTTCTTTCTTTCTTTTCTTTTTTAACACTTAATACATATGTGGGCAATCACTATACATCAGCTCACGGAGACCTTCCTTATTCTTTGTAAACATTTTCTTTCTTTAAGATTTTAAGTAATCTTGGGGCACCTGGGTGGCGCAGTCGGTTGAGCGTCCGACTTCAGCCAGGTCACGATCTCGCAGTCCGTGAGTTCGAGCCCCGCGTCAGGTTCTGGGCTGACAGCTCAGAGCCTGGAGCCTGTTTCCGATTCTGTGTCTCCCTCTCTCTCTGCCCCTCCCCCGTTCATGCTCTGTCTCTCTCTGTCCCAAAAATAAATAAACGTTGAAAAAAAAAAAAATTAAAAAAAAAAAAAAAAAAGATTTTAAGTAATCTCTACACCCAACACGGAGCTCGAACTCACGACCCTGAGATCAAGAGTTGGATGGTCTTGGGGCGCCTGGGTGGCTCGGTCGGTTAAGCATCCGACTTCGGCTCAGGTCATGATCTCACGGTACGTGAGTTCGAGCCCCGCGTCGGGCTCTGTGCTGACCGCTCAGAGCCTGGAGCCTGTTTTGGATTCTGTGTCTCCCTCTCTCTGACCCTCCCCTGTTCATGCTTTGTCTCTCTCTGTCTCAAAAATAAATAAAAACATTAAAAAAAAAAAAAAAAAGATTTGGATGCTCTTCTGACTGAGCCAGCCAGGCGCCCCCTCTGTAAACATCTTTTGAAAGCACTTTTTTTTTTCTTTCAGAAAAAGACTCATTAGCTTATGAGATTCTCAAAGGGGCTAGTGCTCCTCAAAAAGTTTAAAAACACTGTTCTGAAGTACGTAACTGTCACAAACTTATCTTTAAACTGCCTGGCTAACTGCATATATGACTGACGTTTTGATTCTGAGACACTGAAATCCAGCAAAGCCCAACCCCCACCATCTACCCTGTTCGTTTCTACTCTTTTCTTCCCCCAATTCCTGTTAATGAAGAGAAAATAAGCGTCACAAGTCAGCTTGAAGTCCCTTTGCCGGCTCATCCACTCCCCAGGCCATTCCCTTGCTGGAGGCAACCCCCATCGTGAGTCTGGGGAGACCTGTACTTGAAAGCAACAGAATTTCAAGTCTAGGAAATGAGTTAGATAAAGTGACCCCTCTTCACTAAAGGATCCCAAAACTATGTAACCGTCCCTTAACAACCCCACAGCACACAGCAGCACAGGAAAGGCTTCCTAGGTCAGTCTCTGATGCTCCACACCCCCCCCCCCGACCCCATGCCCTGCTAGGAAAGTGAAAACAGGGCCCAGAAACATCCTTTACAAAAGACTCCTTCTTGAGGTGCAAGTAAAGTGCAAGTGTGATCAATCACTAGAGTATTAGTCATGGGCTCCGGGCCTGGTCCTGCCATGACTAGCTGCTTGACCTAGGACGAGATGCTCTAGACTAGTTCCCTCCTCTGTTAAAAGAATGGACATTGAATCAGAAGGCCTCAAAGGTGCTGCTCTAATTCTACAGACCTGTAAATTGAAACAGCCGCAATCATTTGCAACAATGAACAGTAGCTACTACCTGAGTGCCTTTACCACATAGGAAGTGATGTGCCAGGAAATGCTACACAGTTGACACATTTAATTTTCAAAATAACCCTGTAAGAGAGCTTTTTTTCATTCCATTTTACAAATGAGGAAAGAGGCTGAAAGATGCTAAATGGCCGGCTCAAAGCCACAGCCGATAAGGAGCACCCGAACCCCGCGCCAGACCTCGGAACAAGTCCACGTGGCCTCCTGCGTTCTAAAGGGTCTCTCCACCGTGCAACAGGAGTGAGCACGGCCTCCCTGCGAGGATGCTGGCTATACCAGTTGGTCCTGTTGATGAAGAGGACTCTGCACGCAGGGAGGCCACAAGGTGACAGGTTTCCCCACCATGGCTTTAAAATACCACTTCTCTGGGGAGCGCCCGGGTGGCGGGGTTGGTTAAGTGTCTCAGGCCATGACCTCATGGTTTGTGAGTTCAAGCCCCGCCTCAGAAGCCTGCCTTCTGTCTCTCTCTCTCTCAAAAATAAATAAAACATTAAAAAAAT